GTGGCAGGCGGTCCCACAGGGTGAGGACAGATGTGGTCCTGACAGCTCTCAGGGGGAGACGCCCAAGGAAGGGCTGGGTGGTGGCTGCCCACTTGGGCACACAGCATCACAGCGTTCACAAACGACAACAAGAACAACAGCAACACCCATCGTCACTAATCTGGACATAGTCATTCGGCACTAGATTTGCAGGCCCCCACTGCTGGGGGACAGGGACGGGGAGGGGCAGCAGGTGGATGATGAGGTATCTGTGCAGGCCCGGGGGCCACTGGCCTCAGGATGCAGGGAGAGGTGGGCAGGCTGAGGGAGGGGCGAGCTCCACACGCTACTCTGACCGTCTGGTGGGTCAGGCCTGCCATCGCTGTCACAATGGGAATAGCAAAGCTGGCTCTCCCAGAGCCAGGGGGTCTGGTGGAGGTGGCTGTGCTGGGGTGGGTGCAGGGCTCAGCCTCTGAGGGTGATGACCTGGTTTGTAACTGTCCCTTTACCCACACCAGGAGAGAGAAATAAGGAAACAGTCCCCTGGGAGATGTCCAGGACCAGGAGGGAACGGGAAGGGAATTCTTAGGCATCTAAGGATTATTTCAAAAGAAAATCTATTCAAGACCTTTGCTGACCTCCTCTGTGCCTGCAGGGCACTCCAGGAAATCCTCACCTCTGTCCCCTCCCTCCTGGCCCCCTCGCCTGCCCAGGCCTCTGCCCCAGCCCATCAGTGTGAACTTCACACCCAGGGACACTGGCTTCCTCCCGCTACACTGAAAGGCCACTGGTGTGTGTCCAGGTGGGGAGCTGAGCGTGTCTGACACAAGGCCACTTGTAATAAATATCCACATACAAGGAGAGGCCAAAGCAGGCGGCCCAGGCAGAGGCAGAGAAAGCCATGCCCTAACACAGACCCCCTGACTCCTGCCCGTTCCACGTTCAGCCCTGTCCTTGACCCAACAAGGACCTTTTCTCAGAGAAAGGTGCTGCCCAGCAGCTCCCCGGGGAGGGCCCACTCAAAAATGCCCCCTGGAGAAGCCGGGTGTTGAGGGGATAGGAGGACACAGGCAAAGGGCTGGAGCAGAAGCAGCAGGCCTAGCTCCAGCCCTGTTCTGTATAGGCCCCGGGACTGGCCTGGGGACAGGCTTAGGGCTTAGCTAAGCCGCTGCGTTTTTACCTTTCTGATGCCTCAACGATGTGGCTTCTATGCTCCTGGAAACAAGACCAGCTGCTGGTCCATGTCTCCCAGACTGTAGGAGGCGCCCAAACCCCACAGGCCGCCAGGCCCACCTGTCCCTCGGAGGAGTGCCCGGCACTCAGCAGAGGTCAGAGATCAAGGGCTGAACGCAGGACAGCGCCCCTCTTTGCTGCCTTCTGGAAGCCAAGAGCCAAGCCCAGAGCTAGGGACTGGGGACAGATGCCCAGTGGCTCTGGTCCCATCCAGACCCAGGCTGCAGGAGACAGGGAAGGGGGCAGGACAGCCGAGTCCTTCTTTCCCCACCTCAGCCTGCCCTCCTGAGGTCCAGAGCCCAGTGGCAGGGCTTGGGTTGAGGACACAGGAAGCTTGGCAGTGGCTGGGTTTGGTTTATTGTTGGTAGAGAATCATTTTAAGTAGTTTCTACGGTAACGAATCACAGTGACTGCAACCGGGTCAGAGAGCCCCAGGCTGGGGCCCCACCTGTCCGGGTGGGACTCCAGACCAGCCACTTCCTATGATCTGTCACCTGTGCTCAGAGCAGGGCCCCTTATCACCCCAGTCGGCAGCTTTCTGGGCCAAGTGGCTTTGGTTCTGCTTCCCCCATTTCCCCTGCAAAGACCTGGGAAGAAAACACTGAGGCTCCGGAGGAAAGCTGGGGGCCTGGGCCACCTCACCAGACAGCAATAGCAGCAGCAGCACAGGAAGGTGGGGCAGGGCAGGGGAGAAGTCAGGGAGCGTGATGTCCACATCGCACTGATTTCCGAGGGCAGGGAGGGGAAGCAGGAGCGGCGCTGGGGCTGGCACTGGGCCGGACAGGTGGCACGTTCCACCAGAGTCTCGCATTTTCTCAGAGTCATCTTACCAAGTCCTAGTGCAGTAGGGTGGCCCCCTGCCCGGTGCCCATCTCCCTGGGTGGCCCTTCCCTCCCTTGGCTCAGAGTCTTTGCACCCCCTTCCCCTAGGAGGCCTGGGGGTGGGTGGGGGGGGCGGGCCTGGGCCTGGCTGGAATGTGTGGAGCTGGTGGGTGAGAGAGTGGGGGACAGGTCCCCCTCCCTGTCCCCACTGGGGGCCTCTGAGTGGCCTCGTCCTCAAGCCAGCTTGAGCGTGCTGACTGGGAAGGAGGGCATGGTGACCATGGTCACAGGGTTGAGCACGGTCTGGCCCACCAGCTGGGGGTGATGCACCACCTGAGCCCCCACGGCCGGCTTCGCCATGACAGTAGCCGGGGGCCCCAGGCCGGCTGTGCCGTTCACTTGCTGGTGCGAGAGGGTGTGGGCGATGTGGCTCACTGCCACGGGCTGGCTCACTGCCACGGGCTGCGGGTACAAGGGCAGCTGGGAGCCCAAGTGGGCCACATGGTTGAGGGTGGCAGGGTGCACTGTGATGTGCCCAATGGGGGGTGTGGCAGGCGCCAGCTGCACAGCAGGGCTGGGGGCCGAGGGGGCGATGTGGGCGATGTGCTTGCCGCCTGGCCCCTGCAGAACGTGGTTCACAGTCTGGATGACTGAAGCGTGCGTGGTGGCTGTGTGGGCGATGACCGTGGAGCCGCCCCCAGCCGTTGCCACCAGATGGGCCGGAGCTGGCACCAGTGTCTGGGCAGGGGCAGCCGGTGGGGGAGGAGGGGCTGGCAGAGGGGTCTTCTGCTGTGGCTGCGGCTGCTGCACGGGGAGGTGGGCAGGAGACAGGGCCACGGAGTGGGGGTGAGGGTGCGGGTGTGGAGGCAGAGGCGCAGGGGTGGTGCTGGGGGGTGGCAGGGTGGACTTCAGCAGCTCCGGCTGGGGACGATGGCTCAGCTTAGGTGGGCCCAGGCCCGCCCGGTCCTCCTCCATATCCTCGTCTATGTTGTCCTCACCCTCTGTGGGGAACAGGGGCAGGGAGCAGGTCAGAAGGGCGGGGGAAGCAAGCGGCTGGAGGCGTAGATGCTCATGGGGGCGTGGGAATGTGATGGGGCTGGGACTGGGGCCATCTTTTCTAGTAGGCAAGAGCCTGGCCAGGGAGGCTGGAATTTGACGTGTAACATCTGAGGACTGTGGGGCCAGCACGGGGGCTGGGGCTCACCAGAGGCGGTGGAGGTGGAGGCCTGGTCATCCTCGGGCTGGCCCGTCTGCCGCAGCACGCGGTCAATCTCCAGCACGTCCATCCACTGGCTTAGCTCGTGCTTGAGCTCTGCCAGCCGCTGTTGCGTGGCAATCTTCTCCCGCGCCAGCCGCTCCATCTCATGCTCGTATTCCTTCTCCTTCCTCTTCAGGGACTGGGGTACAGAGTACGGGACAGCAGAACGCCCTGAGCAGCAGCCTTGGGGCCCAAAGTCCCCACAAACCTCTCCTGTCAGCTGGCCCAGAGGCAAGTCTGTGGCAACCAGGGGACCCAGCCTGACGGGGGCTGCTGGAGACCACACCTGTCCTGGTCCATGCCCCTGCCCAGGGGGGCCCAGCGTGTGTAGGCTCGCTCTACTCCTCCCAGGGAGTGTGGGCTCTTGGGACAGGCCCCAATGGAGCAAGCTCAACCAGGCATGCGGGTCCTTCCATGTCCTCCACAACTCATCCTCAGGGCTTCTCCGCCTCTGGCCCCATCCCTCCCCCAGCAGCCTATCCACTTTCCACACTTCTGCTCGGTCACTGATGCCAGGAGCTACCGTCTACAGAACCCCAGGATCCTCCGCTTCGACCTCCTGGGTCACTTGTCTCCCTGGTAACTTCAACATCCTTGGAGGATGACCCAACAGGCAGTGACACAACCTCGCCCCGTCTCATGTCCAGGGATCGCCTCCTTCCTGGCTGCTGGTCCGCACCTGCTCCCCGACCTCCTGGACGACTCTCCGCTGTGCATGACGCTTCTCGACAAGGCTCCACCTACATGCTGCTCCCCACCACCCTGCCCACTGCCCTCCAGACTCCCCGGGCTGAAAAACCCCCAAGCCTAGGAACGTGCCCCTGTCTACACCTGTACTTGGGCTAAACGGATCCATGAGAAATGGCTCTTGCGTCCCATGACCCAGCTCCCCTCCACACTCAAGGTCTTTCCTGTGCTCCGACCTGACACTCTTTTAAATCCTACTCTTTTAAGTCTCACAGACCTCCCTGCTGGCAGCTTTCTGCCCAAGCATGTCATAACCGCTATGTACACCAGCAATGCCAACACGTGTGTCCTTGCTGCCTTCCGAGTCCCTTTCTTGGCCTGCTCTTGAGCTCCTAGCTTCCCAGGCTTACTGGTCATGCCCAGGTGCAGGGCCCGCAGGCTTTTCACATACACAACTCACCAGCTGGCCTTGGTTTTCCTCTCTGAACCCCGTCTGCCCTCATCACACATGGATCCTCCTCTCCTTACCCCCTAGATCTTATCTGCCCGTGCTCCAAGACCACATTTGAGCCCCTACCTCCCCCACTGTCGTCCTGTATTTCACATCCTCCAGCCTCCAAGACCTTCCGGGCACCACACCATCTTCCAGGCTGGTTTGCATTTGCGGTAGATTTTTGTTTTATTCCCCTCCCCCCCCCCCTCTCAATTTTTTTTTTTTTTTTTTTTACTGTTTGTTTTTTTCAAACAGTTTCACTCTTGTTGCCCAGGCTGGAGTGCAATGGCACGATCTCGGCTCACCGCAACCTCTGCCTCCCAGGTTCAAGCAGTTCTCCTGCCTCAGCCTCCCGAGTAGCTGGGATTACAGGCATGCGCCACTACACCCGGCTAATTTTGTATTTGTAGTAGAGACAAGGTTTCTCCACGCTGGTCAGGCTGGTCTTGAATTCCTGACCTCAGGTGATCTGCCCGCCTTGGCCTCCCAAAGTGTTGGGATTATAGGCATGAGCCACCGCGCCCGGCCTACTGGTGTTTTATCTTTGATTCTCCGTCAGCCCTCACCCCTGGTTCTCGTCTTTCTTGATCAACATCTTTTCTTGCCTCTGTCCCCTTCTCTCCCTGTATCTCTCACTCTCCTCCAACCTGGGGGGCAGTGGTGTGCAGGAGGAGCCATGGGCCCGAGAGTCCATCTGCTCTCCTTCCTGGAGCCCAGAGGCAGAAGCGGTAGCGTCTCCAGCCCCCTAGCCCTGAGGAAAAATGAGGTTCTTCCCACTCTACCCTCCCTTTCTCCCTGCACCAGGACTGGGCCACTTCTGGTGGGCAGTGGGTCCCAGATCGGCTTACACTAAGAACGCTAAGAACCGCAAACAAAATTTCTATTAAGTTTTGTGTCTCAGGAAAAAAAAGGGGGGGGGTGAAATGAGAAGAGCCCCATCTGCCTGGGCAGTAAATACGAGGCTGTCAGATAGGACTTCATCAGGAACTGGCTCATACAAAGTCTCTCACATATATATGTTTTGTCTTTCTGTCTCAACACACACTGTCCCTGTCCGAGCTGTGAATGAAGGTGAGGATGGCTGCATAGTCTGTTTAGATCCCAGAGCCCACGGGCGGCCAGGAAGAGCTACACACAGGGTGCTTACTCGACCCCAGGGGAAGGACCTGGAAGGGTGCTGTCCCGACTCCTGGTGACCACGTTCCTTTCCACCTCTGTCCTGTCTGTTCCCTGAATCACAGGGAGAATGACAGTAACCCATTAGACCCAGGTTTCCCTGCTTTCATGCCCTAGGGCGGGGGTCCCCAAACCCCAGGTACTGGTCCGTGGCCTTTCAGGAACAGGGCTGCACGCAGGAGGTGAGCGGCGATGGCACAGGACCACCTGAGCGCAGCCTCCTGTCAGATCAGTGGGACATTCGATTCTCACAGAAGCAGGAGTCCTCCTGTGAACCGTGCACCCCAGGAGTCTAGGTTTCGTGTGCTCCTTAGGACAGTCTGCCTAATGCCTGCTGGGAGGTGGAACACTTCCATCCCGAAACCAGTCCCGCCCTCCCTCTCCATGGAAAAATGGTCTTCCAGGAAACGACTCCCTGTTGCCAAAAAGGTTGGGTATCGCTGCGCTAGGAGCACTTTTGCTGTTCTGTAGCAGCTTTTCCTGACTAGGCCTGGCAAAGTCTCCAACCCCACCCACCAGTGAGGCCAGCTTCCCACACTCCCTCCTGCATAGATTCCTGCCCTCACCAGTGATAGGTGTCTCTAACCATTAGGGCCTGCAGCACATAACCCAGGTAGAGCCGTGCTCTGTACTGGCCTGAAACCCAGCAGCTCGACACTTCTGTTGCCAGTCCCAGGCCACACACAGCCCGCTGTCATTCTGGCCTTCACAGTTTCTCTCCATTTTCTGCTAGGAAGACAGTAGGAAACTCCCTTGCCCCTACACACGCACACACACCTGTGTGTGACTTTTCGTTTTTTGGAGACAGAGTCCCACTCTGTCACACAGGCTGGAGTGCAGTGGTGTGATCTTGGCTCATTGCAACCTTCGCCTCCTGGGTTCTGCGATTCTCCTGCCTCAGCCTCCCTAGTAGCTGGGATTACAGGCATATGCCAGCAGGCAGGACTAATTTTTGTATTTTTAGTAGAGACGGGGTTTTGCCATGTTGGCCAGGATGGTCTCTAACTCCTGACCTCAGGTGATCCGCCCCGCCTCGGCCTCCCAAAGTGCTGGGATTATAGGCGTGAGCCACCGTGCCCAGCCTGCGTGTGGCTTTTTACCTGGCTCTGAGGCTGTGTCAAGGGGCCCTAGGTGAGTCAGCTCTCACTTGAACCTGGCTGCTGGCGGCTGGAAGCAGCAGTCCTGAACTCAACCCACCTGTGGGCAGGATGTAGTTCTGGGCCAGGGAGTGACATGGATCAAAAGCTTCCTCTTCTCACCTAGTCCAGTTCTTCGCAGGCCTAGAGGCCCCTGCAAGATTTCCCCAGGGTCTAACTTTAACCCACATTGCTTCATTCTAAACCCATTTCCTTTCTGTGACTACCTGGATGCACAGTTTGGTACCTATTTTTCTTGTCTCTGTCCACTTTTCTGTGGCTGTCTTCAAATCTTTGGCCACCTCCAAACCACTCTGGATTCTGGCTGGGGACCACTGCCTTCCTCCCACAGCTTCCTGCTCTCAGCATACAAACAAATCCCCCAGTCTTCACAGCCCCACTGGTCTCTCCAGGACCAGCTCTTAACTCTGCCCATCTCTGAGTGACAACCCTCCTGACCATGTTCGTGTTTGTTCTTAGAGACGGAGGTCTCACTCTGTGGCCCGGGCTGTCCTCGAACTCCCTAGGCTCAAGCGCTCTTACTGCCTGGGCCTCCCGAGTAGCGTAGTGGGACTCAGGTGCGAGCCACCGTGCCTGGCTTGTTTCTAAAAAGCATCCTGTTCCCTCCTGCTGGGCTGCACCTGGGCTCCCGGCCTCCACTTGGCTCCGTCCCACCCAGACTTATCCTGCACGTCTCAATGTCCTTTCCTCAGGAACAGCCATCCTCCCTCCCCAGAACAGATCCTGCCGCCCGGTTCCTATTATGCCCATACGGCCGTCTTCTGTAGAGTGACTTGTTCATCATCTGCCACAACGCCCAGCCTGGGAGAGCGTAGACCCAGGTTTTTTACTTGCTCGCCACCATTTGCCCAGAAGCAGAGACTTCGCTACAGGCACCTCAATGAATAACTGAATAAATGGTTTGTAGACAGGCCTTTGAGTTTCCTACTTCTGTGACCAGCACCAGAATGGGTGTCCCTTCTGGAGAGCCTGGGGCCCACCCCGGCTCCTACTTCAGCGGGCCCAGCTCCTCAAGAGCTTCCTTCTGCGGCTGCCGCTGAGTCTCCTTCCGATTCATTTCCAAACCCACACGTTACGCAAGGCGCCCTCTGCAAGTAGTATGTGCAAAGAGGAACTCGCCATGCCGTCCTTCCTATTTCTCAAAAATAATAGCTACGTGAATGTCGGGATTGCCGCGAAGTGTCTGCATGAACACCCTCAGCCAGCCCTGCGACTAAACTACAACCAAGCCCACGTTCTGCAAAACCATTCCAGAAATAAGCCACCGGCCTGTCGCGGCCTCCGGACCCCTCTCCCGCTCGGCGCCCGGAGGCCCCACCCCGAAGCACGCGCGCACCCACGCGGCCGCGGCTTCCCTGCGTCACCCTCGCCAGCCGCACCGCCCTCCGCAACTCGGGAGCACCGCCCCCGCCCGCGACAGCCAATCCGCGAACCCGGCCCCGCCCCTCCCCGCTGCCCGGAAGCGGCCTGGAGGCGCGCCAGCTCCGCCCCCTGGCCGGGAGGGCGGGCGGAAGGGCGCGTTCGCGGGAGGCGGGGAGGGAGCCGCCCGCCTGGAGCAGTCGCGAAGCAAGCAGCGCCTCCGCCCCTCCCTCAGCAAGTCAGGCTCCGGTTACCTCAGGGCCGTGACCCCGCGGTCGAGGCCGGGGGAGGGGCGGCGCCCCGCGGCTGGCTCCTCGCGCGCTGGACCCTCCTCGCCACCCCTCCCACGGGGCCCGTGACCCCGCGCGGCCCCCGCAGCTTCCTCAGCGGGTGGACAGGGAGAGTCCCGACTCGCCGCCCCCCCGCCCCACGCGGGCTGGGAGCCCCACGTCCCTCCATCCCCAACGGCTCCCCGTCTCGGCGGCCGCCGGCCCATCCCCCACAGCCTCCGGCCCGGCGCGCGGAAGCCCCGCCGGTTTCCAGGGAAACCGAAGCTCAGGCCGCCATGGCAACTGCCTGACGTGGCGGCGCCCCCGGCCCCAGCGCTGCAGAGGGAGCGACGCCCAAAGGGAGGAGACGCGCAGCCGGGAGGGCCCCGAAAAAAGGGACCCCCCCTTCCCCCTTTCTTAGCCCAGGAGGAAGGAAAGCGTGACGTGTTTCAGGCTCGGCTGCCCCGGGGCTGTTTGCCGCCCAGTCAAATCGCAGTTTTCCCCGCCCCAGGCGTAACCCCACACTCGGGCCGTGGCGCCTCCACGCGCGCTCCGAGAGGACCTTCCTCCTCCGGGGCACATGGGGCTCGGCCCGCGCCGCAGCGTGGACGGCGACCACGCCCAACCCTCCCCGCAAATAGCGACACACATTCGGGGGGAATCTGGGCTCCCGCCTAGGCTTTGCGGCCGGGGAGGAGGCGTCGGGCCGCCCCATGCGCTTCCCTCCAGCGACTGCACCAACACGCGCGAACGGGAGCCGCCACCGGGACTCGCACCAAGCGTCACGGTGCGCGCCTCACGGCCCCCGGGACACCAAGGCTGCGGGGGCTCGGGAGCGGCGGGGGAGGGGAACCGCTCCTTCCTCTGCGCACGCGCGCCCTCGCGGGCAGGGAGCCCCGCTGACGTCAGCCGGGCCATGTGCTCAGCGCCCGCGTGGAGGCGGGAGGGAGGCACGGGGGAGCCGCCGGGGCGGGAGGGCGGGGCGGGGCGGGGCGCGGCCGGGGGAGGGGCGGCGGAGGGAGGGCGGAGGAAGCTGCGCGGCGCCGGTCTCCGGGCCCCATACCTGGATGTACCGCAGCGCCGTCCGCAGCACGCTCAGATTGGACGTCTTCTTGTCATCCACGTTGGGGATGTTCCGCTTCAGGGTCTCAAAGCACTCCTTCAGATGGGCCCTCCTGGAGAGAGGGGCGAGCGCCGGTCAGCGGTGCCTGGGGCGGGGCTGGCATGGGGGGGAGGCAGGGCCCGGGGGAGCTGGGGCCGAGGGCCGGCGGGGCCCGGACCACACACGCGCACACACACACCTGTTCTTCTCCAATTTGTTGTGGACTTCTCTGGTTCCGATCCTGAAACCCAGACAGACAGGAGGCTCAGGGAGGAGGACTGGATGAGACGGCCTTCCTGATGACCCGCGCCGCCACCCCCCAAAATTGCCACAGGCTGTTTGTCCCCAGCATTGTCTTAAAGCAGCTTGGGAGATGTTCGCCCTGTGCCATGCTGCGCCCACTCCCTGCAGGGCACATCTGTGCTCATAATCACAACCCCTGTCACCTTCCGTCCCACCAGGAGGGAGACAGGAGGGCTCCTGGGACTCAGAAGCAGCCGGTTGACCCCCGCCCTCACCCAAGAGGCCCATACTCTGTCCAGAGGCCTGGGAATGCCATAAGCCTCAGCCTTGGAGGGCGTTAGAAAACACAGAAGCCTGGCAACAGGGGGTAATGGGACGTTCCTTCCCAGGATAGAGATGGGCACAGTGAGGCGGTGTTCAAATAAAGGGGGCACACCTCTGAAGCCCCACCCGGGGAGGGTACCTTGTCTTGCACACAGCCCAGGGGATGGGCAGCTCTCCTATTCATCCCAGCAGCCCGACCCTGCCACACCCCACTCACCCCCCTGGCCTCTTCTTCTGTTCACTGGATTTGACTTCTTCAGCTGGTGCCAACTTCAGGGTCCCAAGGGTGGGTGGGGGCGGCTGCTGGGGGGCCAGCTGAGGCTGGACTCCAGGGTGTGGTGCTATGGTCAGGATAGGCGTGGGGAGGGGCTGCAAAGGCTTGGGGCTGCCCGTGGGTGGAATGGTGGTCTTCGAGTCCGGCAGTAGGGGAGCAGGGGTGGGCACCTGTGGCCTGCTGGGCAGGGGGGCAGGCTCCTTAATGCTGAGTCCAGGGGTGCTAACCAGGGCTGGCTGACGAGGCGCCAGGGGCAGAGGCTGGGCTGCCGGCGGCAAGGGTGGGGGTGGGGGTAGTGGCTGAGGGGAGTTGGTCACCACAGGAATAGGAATGACAGTCAGTGGGGCAGGGGTGGCAAGTGGTGGTGGGGGTGCAGGCGGGGGAGCCGGCGGAGACAGAGGCAGGGGTGGTGCCTCAATGCGGGGTTCCTCCACAGGAAGGGCATGTGCCAGCCTGGCCAGGCTATTGGCCTTCTTCTGCTCCTGCTCCCGCTCCCGCTCCAAGCGAAGCCGCTCCTGCTCCTCTACGCAGAGAGAACACAAGGGGGGGTCTCAGCAGGGCCCCAGCCCTCCAGTCCTAACGCATCCTCTGACCCTAGCCCAGTCAGTACTCAGTGATACCCCTGCTCAGCGAGAGACTCCACAAATAGCCTACCAGTCCAGCCAGGCACAGGGGAAAGCGCCGGGGGCACAGCAGTGAACAAATCAAGCAGACCTGGTCCCTGCCAGCAGGGAACAGGAGGACAGTCACGGGGGCTGACAGTCCGGGCTGCAGGCAAGACAGGTGGCCATGGAAGGGAAGGGTGGAGCAGAGCTGTCAGAGGGTGCTGCAGGCCACCTGCCAGCCTGCAGGGTGAGGAGGAGGGTGGGTGAGGGCAGCGAGGGTCAGGAGCCACAGGGCCGAGGTAGGAGAGGCGGGCAGAGGCCCAGCCACCCAAGACTTCGCACCAGAGAAGGGAGTGTGCTGACAGATCCCAGCTTCCGTGGAAGGCCTTTAACAATGTTTACCAAGCACCTTCTAGAGGGCAGGCAGTGCCTGCATGGCACAGATGAAGGCAGTGAAGCTCAGCGAGCACAGTGATTTGCTGCAGGTCCCACAGCAAGCCTCCTGACCCCTGGAGGACGCTTGCCGTGCTCACAAGGAAGTGCCTGGCACACATTCACAGTCTCTGGATCGTCACAAGAGCCCCACGTCACATCACAGGCAGGACAGGGACACCACCCTCATTTCACACATGTGGAAACAGCCCAGCACTCCTGACCCCGAGGCTAGATCCCAATGCCTGTTTTCCTCAGGGACCATTCAACACACACACTTAGTCCCTCTCTGACCCTTGTCGTGCTGAAACTCATTTCTCCCAAATCCCCAACATCCCCACCATCAGCAGCAGCAGCGCCAGCATGTCCTGTCCTCCGGGCCCAACGCGTCCTCTGACATCCTCAGTGACACCCGCTCAGCCTGAGACACCACAAATACCCAAGCAGTCCAGCCAGGCACCGGGGGAAGTGCGCCTGCCTGGTTCAGGGTGAGAGAGGGCAGCTGAGGAGGAGGAGGCACAGTAGCGGCCATTTCTCCCAAACAAGAAGAGACTGGGCTCTTCAGTAGGGGCTGAGCAGGGCAGTGCACCCCACCATCCGCTCAGCATCTCTGCTGAAGGCCCAGCAGGAAGGCAAGGCCCACTCAGGAGCTGGCTGCGAACAGGGGAAGGGGAGGCACCTCCATCTCCAGCCTGCCCCGTCCTCTCCCAGGCCCCACCATTCTGGTTCTCTGGCTACGGGGCTGGCCCAGGCCCTTGGAGTCTGCAGCCCCCAGGCCAGGGAGCCGCCAGGACAAGCAGCCCTCTCCTCTGGCCCCGGATGCCCCGCTCCGCTGACGAACGCAGCAGACAGCTCGGGCTGGTGGACACGCCAAACACCTGGGCAAGGGGTGGTGCGGGGGACTGGAGTCGGCCAAAGCCCCCTGAGGAGGGGAGCACCCACCTCCCACACTCTTACTGGCTCAGAGGCCTCAGAAAACTTGAGGTCTCAGGCCCTTTGGCCAATCAACAACTGGAGTGTGAGCCAGGCCTGCTCCTAGCCCCGCCCTCCCGAAGAGGGAAGAGGCCGAGGAGGAAGCGGAGGGGGAAGCGTCCTGGGAGGGGAAGCCTCAGTGGTTTCCCAGCAGCCAGAGTTCAGGGGCTGGGCCAGCCAGCGGGTCTCTTCCAGATTTCACTATCCCTTCGGGAAGGGGCGATGCCAGGCCGGTGCAGGCCTGCTCCAGTGCGGGGCACTGGAGGTTACCTTAGGTTACCGCCGGGGAGAAAACCAGCCCTGCGCTCCGCTTCCCACAGACTGCACTGGCCAAGCAGCCTGCTGAGTTCCAGTGACAGGGCCCTTCTCAGTTGGGTGCAGCCTCTGTTGTCCCCAGCCCCTTCCCCTACCCCAGGACAAGACTCTGGATCCCAGGCCTTAACACAGCCCCCACCTCCATCCCGTTGGCTGACAGACCTAACTTTTCATTGGCCTTGAGACATGTGCTCTACTCTCTATAGGCAGAGGGACGATCAGGGCCCTCCCTGAGTCACAAGGACAGGCGGGATCCTAGAGTGCAAGCCAACCCCCATTCCCCATATTTTAAAGCAACCTAAAGCTCACCTGGGAGGTAGCAACCTCCTTCTCACCTGCCCTCTCTCACCCAGAACCAGGCAGGTACACCTCACAGGTGCCAGGAAGGACCCAGTTACACCTGGAGCAGCATGAGAAAGTTCCAGGGGTGGTGAGGAAGAGGAGCTGCCTCGGGGCCAGATCCAGCCCACGAGAGCTTCCTGCCCCTTCCCACCCAGCGGCAACCCTCTCCCTGTGCACTGGAGAACCACCAAACTGGTGGTGGCTGCTGCTCCCTCAGGAGCACCCTGGGCTTAGGCTCTTTAAAAGAATGTTCTGTGCATCCACCAGACAGTGCGCCCCCTCACATGCCTCCCTGGGCTCCACCCAGAAGCTGCCCCCGAAGAATTTAGCATGGCCCTTCTGCAGTGACCCAGGGGCCGAGGCTTCAGCCCACGCTCAAGAGCATGGGCAGTGTGCTCCCTTCAACCTTCCCAAGCCACTGTGGCCCAGGCGCTCCGCAGGCACAGGGCTAGGGGTGGAGGAGTCCACACTGGTGGGCCCCAGCAGCCACAGGAATTCTCCCATCTGCTCGATAAACAGGGGCTTGGTGTCTAAGGCAGGCCCAGGGTAAGCCTTGGAGAGTTGGTCAGGAGCCTCTGGACACTCCAACCAGCTCCCTCCAAACAGGGCAGAAGAGTTGCATCTGAGCCACCTCCATCAACACTGGAATGACCATGCCAGGCCCTCCAGCTGAACACCAGGATAGCTCTGCCCTTTCCTCTCTCTCTCACAGGCACACACATCTGCAGGGTCCTCATGTGAGCAAACTGGCTGGTCTAGGTCAGAAACCCATGCTTGCGGTTGAAAGGGAGAATGGACAAGAGGATCCCTGTTCAGAGCTAGTCCTAGGTCCTGGGAAAGCGTTCTGGTCAGCAGGTTCACCTACCATGCCCTTCCCTCCCGTTCGTCCTGCCCCAGCTCAGAGGACAGAACGTCAAGAGGGAGAAGAAAATGAATTCTGGAGGTGAAACAGCTGGGACCGGTTCTGGCCACCTGTACATGAGTTTTTGAGTAGATCTGGCTTTCCGCACCCACTCATCTCCAAAGACCTCTGACCAACACCAAGCAGCGGTGACCAGGCCGCTGAACTCGGCCTAAACACAGTGGGTACTCGAACTGCAACGTGTTGGTGGTGGCAGCAGGTGACTTAGTCTCTCCAAACCTTGTGCACGGTCTTCCCCTGACCCCTGTGCCCAAACGTAGGACATTCTTGGTCACCACGGGCACTCTCCACTGCCAGACCCTGCTCTGAACCCCCAAGGCAACAGGCGGGGAGTGTTGGTGACGTCCCCGCCCATCACTTCTGCAAAACCCAGGCATCTGGGTCTCACATATTTCCAGTGACTCCTGACCTTGAGAGGCCGGTCGCCC